CCTAAAACCAGGCTAGGCAGAACTTTGTTCCACTGCTGCTCAGTCATTCCTGTGTTCTTGTCTCACTGAGATTGCCAAAAAATAATATAGAGAATAAAAACTGTGAGCACAATTCTCACTTTTGAAGTCTGACAGCAAGCTAATTGAGAGGAAGGAATCACCTCCATTCTGCAAGTTTTTACTGGATTGATTTACAAAAAGCATTAGACTATTAAGAGGTACTTTGGTCAAACTATTGCTCCAAATAGACTTTTTCCTTCAAAGACCAGGAGTCTTTGTCTGTAGAATATTTGCTGCCTTTTTCCATCAAAGAAGCACTTGGAACAATGTGAAGCTGCTGGATGTGACTTTAATTACAAACCTACCGTTGTGCAAATGCAGAGAAGGACTACCTTAGCCAGACGCAAAACACATCCGTACATTGCAGTGTGAAACACTATGATAACCATGGGTATTTGGGCAAAAGTCAGGTCTATGTAATATACTCTGACGTGTGAAAACGGGTGATAGAAATACATATGGCACCGCTGTCACACGTTTGCATGGGAATGCAGCCTCAGCGCAACTGAGATAGATTGCTTTTGGATGTCTTCTGGAAGTGAGGCTAAAAGCTCTCTAATCACAATCTTGTCACTGTGAAGGTAGAGATAAATTGATATATTCTGTTAGTTAATTTAATGTCAAAATTTCTGTTTCTGGAATCAATTTTGAAGCAGGTACCATCATACATATTGTCTTGCTATGCAGAATGTGTATGACCTTCACTAAGCTTTTTTAATTTTTCTTCTGGTCCATCAAGTTCTTCTCTGCAACCTGACTGCTCAGTTCACTGTCTTCTCTGTGTAAATCAAAGTTATATTCTCCTTACACTGCCCCATCGTATGAAGCCATCTGTTATGTCTCAGCATGCACTTAAAACCTACATGGACATTTTGTGTGACTGTACAGCAGCTGGCACAGAAAAACTATCTAGCTCATGGTTATAGACCCCAAACACAATCATAATCCACTAAAAATAATATATCTAACAAAACACTAGTGGAGAGTTATTACTGGTCCGTTTAAAAACTACTTGCTACAGTCTTAATAATATAGTCCTCTGCACTAGTGCTTATGGATGAATTGTTCAGAAATTTTGTGTTATAAACGTTTAAAACAAACAAGAGATCTCCCGCCACTCCAAAACCCAGGGGAAGTAGTCAAAAGAGAATGGACTCACATTGTAGTATACTGTCTCCCGCCACTCCAAAACCCAGGGGAAGTCATCAAAAAGAATGGACTCACATTGTAGTATACTTGTGGGGCTTACAGCAGCCCCAAAACTATTAACCACTCCTTTGAAATCCTAAGAGATACTATGAAGCTTTGACTCTTTGTTCAAGGTACCCATGCCCGCTGTAACTACTATTGACATGGAAAATGTTAGGTTTCTTTTTGCTGAGATGACTAAATGACTGCTTATTGTACTGAGCAGATACTTGAGCCCATCTGTGTTTAAGTGTATTTTTCCTCTCCCATTTCATCCAAGGTGGTTGTCAATGCCCTCGTGGGAGCCATTCCTTCCATCATGAATGTTCTGCTTGTTTGCCTCATCTTCTGGCTCATCTTTAGCATCATGGGAGTGAACCTCTTTGCTGGGAAGTTTGGGAAATGTGTCAATCTGACAGAAGAAGATTCAGAATTAAATAGTTCAATCAATGACATAACAGACTGTAAAATGTATAATAACACAGGAAAAATATTCTGGGTCAATGTTAAAGTCAACTTTGATAATGTTGGCTCTGGCTACCTGGCTCTCCTTCAGGTGGTAAGTGTTGCTTGCCTTCACTAGCCAGCACCATGTCAGATGGGTTTGACCTCCTGCCAGCTTCTAACTCATTTCTGTGGGTGATGGAAAATAGTGGTACCATACAACCTGCTCTTCCCTTGTAACTGGCTGTTCAAACACCAGTGCTGATTGTGCACACAAATGGAAAAAGAGGGATAAATTAGACCCTGTTGTGATTTTCCAGGTGATAAAGTTAGCATCTGGTGGACAAGTCCTGTTTCAACAACCAGCATGTTACTGAGCCTGAGAGCTGGAGTCAACCTCAGAAGAAGTCTGGGGCAAATTCTGACCCAATCTTCTCTAATACAGAATTACTCAGCCATGAGGGTTGTAAGGCCGTTAGTAGCCCATGCTAGTGAACATTTGCCCTGTTGTCATCCTGGGACAAGAAGTTCCATCCCACCCTAGCAAGCTTTCTCATCCTGACAGGGCTGAGAATGCCACACATACATCAAGGGCAAGTTTACCTAAAGTCATGGTTTGGTGCTATGTGCTTTACCCCATCAAAATGTCTTTCTTCAGTCATTGTTGTTTGGATATTGTAAATGACGTGAAGATTTTAACCTTGAAAGTTCAATGTGTTTTCCATAATCTCTCACTCTAGGCAACTTTTAAAGGTTGGATGGACATCATGTATGCAGCAGTAGATTCACGAGAGGTCAGTCACTATATGCAAACTATAATTTTTGTTAATGTTACTGCTTTCTGCAAAAGCATTATGGTATCACCCTTGATATCTATATTGGTCAGCTGAGAACCTCTTTATATGACATTGACTCGACTAATAAGTTGGTTGTCCATCACCTAGTGGGGGAGTTGAGAGTCCCCACTTGCATGAAGACACCTACCATCACACATCTTCTTTTATGAAACTCAAGCTTGGAGATGAATGTTTTACAGTGACATAAAGACCACTTCAAAACATAAAACCAATCTTTATCAAGAATTGAGCTATTGTGAATAAACAACCATTTAAAATACATTGTCAGACACCACTAGTACTATTTTGCTTACTGTTTATATTGCCAGTGGTGGTTGTTGCCTTGTAAAAAGTATCATCTGATGTTATACAGAATGACGTAGTATGTCTTTGTATGCAAAGAATTTGAAATGAAGAGGCTATCTTAACTTCATCATGATTTCAAAAGAATCAAATAATTTTATGAGTAACCATATATGAAAATGTTTTTTTTTGTGTGTGTTTCAATTCAAAAAACTATTTTTCTTGTTCTGTTCTTGTTTTTGTAGAAGTTTTTTTTTTGCTAAAAAGAAACAAACATGTCTAGGCCAAGATTTTTAACAAGAGCTTGGAATTAGGCTTCTAAATAGTTTACTTGATTTTTCAAGTACCGAGCAATTTACAGCTCCTGTTCTTATTGGAAGAAAGAGAACTGATGCTTCTGAAATGCTTGAGAAAATCATGTCAAGAATGTCCAATTCAGTGACTGTTTCTATTGAATCTAGTAGGGCCTCAATCAATTCCAAATAGTAGGATTTTAAGTCAGGTTTGAAAAGGAAAAAAAAATCATCTTTTGTGAAAAAAAATAAATTTAAAATAAAAGTAAACCTCATTCACCATTAGTCAAAGACCAAGTTTTGCTCTGCAAGTTTTTTCAGTGCAAATATGTTCAATGTCGTATGAATTAAATTATCCTGTTCTGCAATGATCTAGTCAGAAACTATATAAACAAATATTGTAAAAGAAAACAAATTAACAAGTTGTCTTAGTATAAAGATTTTGTAGTACTCTTATGTTGAGCCTTATTTTCTGTTTGTTTATCTCTCAGGTGTTACCAACTATTATTGGCAGTCTTAAACTATACCAGTTTTGTCAGAATTAGAACTAGGGCTCTAAATCTTAATTCCTCCTCAAATCAAATCCAAAGATTATTCGAAAGTGAGCCCATGTTTTTGTTGGTTATTTTTCATGTTGCTTCTCAATCTTGCAGAAAAATGAGCAGCCGCAAATGGAGCACAGTCTATTTATGTATCTCTACTTTGTGAACTTCATCATCTTTGGATCTTTCTTTACCCTGAATCTCTTTGTTGGTGTTATTATTGACAACTTCAACCAACAAAAGAAAAAGATAAGTATATTGGTTGTGCTCCCAGGCATCTACTATATCTCAAGCAATGCTATCTTTAGAGAACAAGGTCCTTGCTATACACAGAATCTAAAACTTCTACTGGCATTTACAAGAGCATTAATAATTAAGTTAGCAGAAGTAACACCCAGGGCGAGTTTCTTCCTCCTTTATTTTCCTGTGTAACCTGAACACCCAGCTCTTTCCTGACATATCGAAGGCAAAGACATCTTCCCTGCAGCCCTGTAAAATTTTGCTCCTTTTTGGGAAGTGAGCACAACAGGAGACTTGTTATTTAGAAAGTGGTCTCCTACAGATGCTCTCAGAAGTATTTTGGATATGGAACAAGACCAGGATGCTGGAGACCAGGGAAGTTTGTTCCTGTCCAGGTTTTCAGCAGGTCCTATATTTTCTGAGCATGGGTGTCACTCCAGGACTTCTGCTCTGTGGATGCGTGGTTGCTGCCACTCTCTTTTTTTGGACACAGTTACACATTATGAAAAGGGCTAGTACCAGCAAGGTGTGAAAAAGGAAGGAATGTTCATTTCCAGTGTTTTAGACTTTGTAACTACAATAGTGCTGCTTTCTCACCAAATAACAGTGACATTTCTTTATATACTTAGGTGGAGAAGATATCTTTATGACAGAAGAACAGAAAAAATATTACAATGCAATGAAAAAGCTGGGATCCAAGAAACCTCAAAAACCTATTCCAAGACCACTGGTAATACTGTCTGAATTCTTCAAAAGGAAAATGTATCGCAAAAGTGCAATTTAATTCACTGAGCAATGTATATGTTTATATAAAACATACAAATTACTTATACTGTCTTTACACCAATACTCAGCGAGTGCTGTAAAGTCAATTCCATACCAAAAAGTTGCACTGAAAGACTTTACAGGTTAATTATTTATTAAGTTATCTGCATAAATATTGTTGGGTTTTACATTCACCTTGGACTGATTAAACTTCAGGATGGGAAGGGATATTTAATGTCATTTTTAGATTCTGCTTCCTCAAATTTATCTGACTTAAGCATAGTTGAGTGACTTTGCAACATAAAAATTGGAGCTGTTAGAAACAGGTATGGATGAGTACTCCCTACTTCCATAACTGATGCTAGATATATCTTTTTCCTCTAGAACAGATACCAAGGGTTCCTTTTTGACATTGTGACACGCCAGGCCTTTGATGTTGTAATCATCATTCTCATCTGCCTTAACATGCTCGCCATGATGGTGGAAACCTCTGAGCAAAGTGACTTGAAGACTAACATCCTTAAGAAAATCAATATATTCTTCGTTGCCATCTTTACTGCAGAATGTGTACTGAAATTGGTGGCTCTGAGGCAGTACTATTTCTCAAATGCCTGGAACATATTCGATTTAGTTGTTGTGATCATGTCACTTATTGGTAAGTAAGATTGGTTTGACAATTTCTTTACTAAACCAATTACTATTATTTTCTGAAAAAAATAATTAAAATTTATCAACTGCAAATGCATGTTGAAATGGAAATCGATACTGTAAAGACTTGAGGAAAAAGAACTAGAAAACCCACCACGATTATATTAAAATAATATGAAATAAGATTTTTTAAAATTTCTGCTATTCTCTTTTAATAAGTTTTTTTTAAAAAACCCCAACCAAGTGTTATGTAAAATCTTTCATAATGATTCTTTGGATTGTTTTTTCCTAGTCTGAAAGACAGAATGAATAACCCATCATACCAGTACCCCATTATGTGATAATTTCATGTTACAGATTTAGTACCAACTAAGAAATCTTAGATCAGATAAAAATTGCTAGGTTTTGTCATCTGTGTTTGTAACACAGGATTGAAATGTATAGAGAATACAAAGACTGGAATTAGATTATAGACTATGGAATTCAGTTTCTGGAGACTCAGGCATAGCTGATTGAAAATAAGGGTTCACACTGTGTAACAGCTTTTATTTGAAGGGATTGCAATGGAAGAATGGGGTAAAGAGCTCTTCTGCCAATTTGAGCTTTCTGCCAATTTAACTACTCCTAGGGCCAGTACTGCCAAAATAGCAGAAGTCTTTTAGGGGAAGAAAAAATATTTCATTTCTTTAGTATGACTTATATTTTAGGTAAGATTCCAGTAAGAATATGGGTCTTCCTTGAGAAATTAAGTTCCTGGAGTGGAAATTCAGAAAAATGTGTCCAAACCATCTAAACCTAGAAAAGCAAATATTTTCTAGTATTACTAGACCTGTCACTTTTTCATGCAAACTAAACATAAAATAACATCCATGTGTAGCTATGTCCCTGTATGAACTAAGAGCCATAGCAGAGTGACAGGCACAACTTCTATGTTGGTCACTGAGTTTGCTTATACATATCTTGACTATATCATCTAAATGATGTCCATGAGATTATTATTACATCTTGTTTTCTTAGTTTAGTTTTGTAGTGTCAGTATTTGAAGTAAAATTTAAAAGGTAAATAGGTAATCTGCACCTGCTGAAGTATTCACACAACCAGTGTTGAAGAAAACCATCAGTCAACAAGTGTTGACTGATATGGATATTTTGAAGTACTGCACAGAAAGGTGCTTGCCATGACTACTGTCTTCTGGTGACTGAAAAATGTAGCTCACAGTTGCTGACTTCTACAGCTATTTTTTTTCAACTCTAACTTTTATGAAATGGTGTTCACACACACATCAGATATTTTTCAACTGTACAGATATTATCATTTTGTCCTACTTGATAGTTAAGCACAAATGTGGTATTCTAACCAATTGTGGTCCCTTCCATTTTAGCCCTACTGCTTTCTGACATCGGTAAAACATTTGAACATTTCATACCACCTACACTCTTCAGGGTCATTCGCTTAGCTCGGATTGGACGAATACTGAGACTCATCCGGGCTGCCAAAGGAATTCGAACTCTGCTTTTTGCGTTAATGATGTCCCTACCTGCTCTGTTCAACATTGGCCTCTTGCTTTTTCTGGTCATGTTCATTTATGCCATTTTTGGCATGGCTAACTTTGCCTATGTGAAGATGGAAGATGGCATTGACGATATGTTCAACTTCCAAACCTTTGGTAACAGCATGCTCTGTCTCTTCCAAATCACCACGTCAGCTGGCTGGGATGGTCTTCTCAGCCCAATTTTAAACACTGGGCCACCGTACTGTGATCCAAACATAAATGGTACTATAGGGGAATGTGGTAAACCTGCCATAGGCATTATTTATTTTGTAAGTTACATCATTATCTCATTTCTCATTGTTGTAAACATGTACATAGCTGTTATTATGGAGAACTTCAATGCTGCTACCGAGGAAAGTACAGAGCCTTTAGGGGAAGATGACTTTGACATCTTTTATGAAATCTGGGAGAAGTTTGATCCTGAAGCAACTCAGTTTATAACTTTCTCTGCACTTTCAGACTTTGCAGATGCTCTGGCTGAACCTTTACGTGTACCAAAACCAAACAAAGTTCAGCTGATAGCAATGGACCTGCCTATGGTCAGTGGAGATAGGATCCACTGCTTGGATATCTTGTTTGCTTTTACCAAACGAGTGTTAGGAGATTCTGGGGAGATGGATACTCTTAAAGTACAAATGGAGGAGAAGTTCATGGCTGCCAATCCATCCAAACAATCCTACGAGCCAATCTCCACTACTCTCAGACACAGACAAGAAGAAGCTTCTGCCACTGTTATCCAGCGTGCTTACAGGAGTCACCGGCTCCTGCGCTCCATGAAGCAGGCTTCTTACCTGTACCATCACAGAACTTGCAGTGATGACACTCTTGGAGGTGCTGCTCCAGAAAAAGCAGGACTTATTGCATCTATGATGGCTGAACACTACCATAGGAGTCTGGATAACTGTGAAACTTTGTCCTCAGCATCCTTTCCTCCATCATATGACAGTGTCACAAGAGCCAGTAGTGGCAATCTTGTGGTTGAAAATGGAGAAATTACATCTCCAGATATTAAATAGTTCATCAGCAACAATGTTGTTAAGAATATTTTAAAATGTTCACACAAGCTGATATTGTAAATATGCATCAGCTGAGGAAGCCTCCTTATTTAACAAAGTCTGTTGATCATGATCAGTTAACCATAGCTAGGCATGAACATCTAGCTGTGGTAGCTGCTAAATCATAGCCTTTGGCTCTTCTACCTTCAGCTTTGTTCAGTATTTACCTATGCAGAGACAAAAGCTCTGGAAGGTTTTGAATCTGATCAAGGGCACCGCCCTGCAAAGCAGGTCCCACGGTACTTGTCTGCTGTGGCGTATTCACAGCAGGGACAGATAACATCTGCTGATGTTGTCCCTGCTCCAAGAAGCAGAGAAAAGCCCAAGCAGCCATGGATCTACTGGAAAACAGGAAAAGAATGTCAGTGTTAAGATAAATTGCTGAAAGGAAAGGAGCTAAAATTTACCCTTAGTCGGTCCCTAATTGATACTCTCATTATAAACCTGTTAAGCAAATGGGTGCTGATTTTTTTTTTTTTTAAATGTTTGGGGACTGATGTACCACAACCACAGCCACTGCATGATCCACAAATGTCACAGTGTAGTGGACTTCTTCCAATATGATCAATTTACAGAATAAGTCATGGCATGTATGCTATTGTAGTTGTGTTACTGCAGCTTAATGAAATAACAAATGCAACTCTTACTATTACAGAAGTTGTACTGAGCTGAGTAAAAGCTGGCTTTATATTTTGTCTGTGAGGATTATTTTTTCAACCCAGTTTCCTCTGGCAGGGAGGAGAAGGCAGCCATGCTGTGTGTCTATCAGTCCCTCCGTAACATATTGTGTTCATTACATACTTTCCTCAAACTTCAGAGAATGGTTATGTTGCATGCTCAAGTCCATTCCTTGTCAATGTGTTAGAGAAGAGAGACACAAATACGCATTTCCACTGCGGAGAAATCGGCCTCATCACTTCAGATGACATCAGAAACCCAGTCTGGGGAGCGTCACATGGGCCCCATTGGAGCTGCCCTTGGTCATGGTGGTGACCGTCATCCACGGCCATAGCGTGAAGCCTTGGCCTAAGGTAGATGTGTCCTGTCGGTGGTAGGAGCCTTTCCCCCTTCTGCCTCTGCTTCTCTGATAGGAGGACCAGTTTTCTCCTGCAAAGGTTGGAAGAAACCAAAGTATGAGCAATGTGGACAATTAGGAAATCTTGGATGAAGCATTTAGGTCTGGGGTTAACATAAGAGTAAGGAGGTAATAATAAACTCTACTTCTCATGAAAATATGTGTGCACATTGTTTCTCATGATCTTCACCGCATTTTCCTTACAGAGGTCTGTATCTTTCTCCATGTCCTTACTAGCTTGGGCTTCTCAGAAATACACATGCCCAAACAATACGGAGCCTTTTGTCCTTTGTACATGTGCTTTGGAGATACTTTCAGCTGATGAACTTTGCTGTCTAATGACTGTTGTGATATCCCTTGTCATGCACTAGACATAATAATAAATTACACTTGACATTCTAATTTCTTATTTAAACTTCAAACACATTACATGCGAGTCAGCGTAAGGTGCTTTTTATTTTTCTTAGTTGTAAGGAGGCTGTAGTCGGGGTTGGCAGGTTCTGGCAAGGCTTGGGTGAGCTTTCCCCTCCACACTGATTTCAGTCAGAAAGAAAACTGAGTTTTGCTACTGAGTGGAACCTCCTGTACCCTTCGCTTAAAACCTGCAGCAAACTGCCTACTCCTTCAACGTCCCTTCTCTACGGTGGCTGTTATATGTGCTGTCTTGTGTCACCTTCCTCTTTGCTTTTCCGTCTCTTCAGCTTGTGAGGTCTTTGAACAGAATTTCTCTTTTACTATGAATGGTAAATAACACTTTAACAATGAAACTGTTTTCAGTTAATACTGTCTGAACACTGATTGCAAATAAATCATATTTATAATAGCTTTTAATTTTATCTGTGGTGTTCTCTTAGCTTCTCCTAGCCATCATAGCATCTTTAATTAGTTTTGAATACAAGCCTCACTGAAGTCCATCTGTCTGGGAAGGCCACCCTGAAGCTGAGTCAGAGATCCACCCTTGTAGGAGATCAGATGCAAAATATCATTTGGTGCCTTAGGTGAATTGTTTGTTGGTGTAAGAAAGAGCAAGTACCCCCCAGGGTGAATTCTACCTTCTGCAGAAAGCCCTCTGGGTAAAGGTGATACCATTTTGGGGAAGGCAAGCCCCTTGCCATGTTCTTTAACCCTTCTGGTTCTCCTCTGGACCTTCTTAATTTTGGATCCTACTGATGTCTATAACAAAATCCTAGTTTCTTGTGATGGCTGTGCGGCATACAGTCTTGTTTCCAGATGGATTGACGTCTTTTTGGTCCCTTTTAGCTACTATTCTGAGAGCACTGCCTTAACAGCCTGGTCTCTTCAACAGTTGTCTCTTCCATACTCTATGTATCACTTACAAATCTTAACCTAAAATATTGCATTTTTAAAGAGGTTATTAATAGAGACAGCAAAAACTTGAGGGCTGAGAGTTCTTCCCTTTGACAGCCCAATAACAGGATTTTTCTGTCTACTCCTTTGACAGTGATGTAGCACAACAAACATAGCAATGAAGGACATGAGAACAGCAGAACACCTGTACCCCTCTGTAGTGGGCTTGATTTCACTGCTGAAAGCAAAACATTTTTCACAGGAAATCAAAGTAAAGGAAAGACCTTGAATATTTGCTCCCCAGTCAAAACAGTTAAAGGGGAAAAAAAATAAAGACTATGTGGAACTAACAAAAAAACCCCCTGTTTCTTCAGCAAAAATCAGGACCTGTAACGTAAGCCAGACTGCACCATTGAGACTATCTAGTGATGGTGCCATGCTGATTATTTAGTTCAATACTTCTGAGCTCTTGGGCAAAGCATTGGAGCTGTATGGCATAAAACTCCTGTTACACTTTAAAGCAAAGAGAAGTTTTTCCTTCCCTTTGCCAGATATCTTAGTGATTCAACAGCTGTGAATTAAAACTGAATCAAGTGCAGAGAAGCAATACTAGAATGAATAACAAACTATGTTGTGAAATAGATTCAGCCTAGAAATAACAGCTGAGAGGGTATATTGTAACTCCCAGTAAGTAAAGCGAGTGGGAAAATAGGAGCTAGGGAGAGAAATGTCTAAAAGACAAATAGAATAGTCAGGGAAAAAATTACCCTGGAAATTAGAAGTGCCTTCTGTTCTTCAGAGGATGGAGCCTTGGAACCACTTTGCAGCAGGAGCAGAGGAGCCAGGCTGACTGAAAGGTGAACAGTCATCTATTTCTTCAAGGGGTTATGTGTTGTGGCACATTCAAGGGCATGTGTGACCCGGCAGATGCGTTGGTTCCTGCTTGAAACTCTCTGAATTTCATAAAATGAAGACTGGGATCTGCAATGGGACAGTGAAACTTGTTGAATGCTTCCTCCTAGTGGTTTTAGATCAAAATAACAGGTTCAAAGTGCAAAAAAAGTTGGGGCCTCTATCTCAACTATAGAGATTGAAACCTAAACAGGTAAATAAGTGTCTCAAAAAAGAGTATTAACAGCAAGCAGAGAGCTTAGAGGGAGTGTGAGAAAGGGTTGTGCTAAAAGAAAGCTACAGTTTAAAGGTGAGAAAATGAAATGAGTGAGAATTTCCAGTGTGAAAGAGAATTAGACGATGAAGAGGAAACTGAAACACTAATAAATAACTCATTGGCTATGTAAGAAAGAAGAAGAAAAAATAAATAAGATGTGGGATTGGCTTAAAATGAGGTTCTGGACAGCTTTGCGGTTAAAGGCAATCTATCACTATATATATGATGAAGACCATACAGTCTCCTTCAATTTCAGTGAAGACGATATTCAATATGGGATTGTATTTTCTTTAGTTGACATGAAATTTTTGAATGGAAATGTGAGCACATCCATGGCTGAACACAGAAGGGAATTAAAGCAATGCAGCTGGGGGCCAGAATAACCCCTTTTCAAAAATGCTGTTGGGAACTGGCACATGAAACTGCAGGTCAGTCAGTAAGGATTTTGTGAGAATCTGTCAAATCAGGAAAGGTAGCAGGAGGGGAGAAAAAAAATCTACCAAATCCAACCCAAATGTAATACTTGTATTTGAAAAGGAGGCAATAAGCAATTCAAGCAATCAGAGACTTTTAAATCTGAACTGAGCATGTTGCAGGGCTGTGGAACACATTTTGAAGGGGAAATAATGAAAGACGAAGGAAAGTGGAAAATTGAATAAAATAGGTTTGAAATCTATTCACTAAGGAAGAAGGATGTGGTAGCTCTTATCCACTGGTATTCTGATAAACAAAATGTAATAAGGCAAAGTATAAAGTCCTCTACTGGGAGCCAAATGGGGATATTTGGTATGAGGTGATAGAAACAGCAGAGCACTGCAAAGAGCTGGATATATTCCTGAAACGGAATGGTTGTGATGTGTAATGTGATGCAATCATGAAACGTAGAAATGCGAGTGAAGATCTGTCAGCTGAGACACAGTCCATGGAGTGCGGGATGTGCGAATGCAATGGGAAGGCATAGGTGAGGCTGCATCTGCACCCATGCATGCATCGGTAAATGATGCCGAACAAAAATTCATACAAATGAAACAAGAATTAAAGAGCTTCTATGACAGACAAAGGATTAGAAAGGCTTTAGAAAAGAGCCTGGAATCCTGGCTTGTTTAATCCTGCAAAATGAAAGTCGAGAGGAGAGACGTGACTGTTTCCAAGAGGGCAATAAATGTCAGCGAGGGTTAAACCAGAGCACTGAGTAATGCTTATTTTGAATACAGCCTGCATCAGCCACCCTTCCTTCTGAGTGTACAGGAGAGGTGCAGCTTCTCTGTGGTGAGTTTTCCCTGTGCAAGCGTTCCATGATCCCATGGCTACGGGCCAGGCCTCTCCACAGAGGAAAGCTGGAAAATGTACCTAGACAATTCGTCACCCATACTGATATCAAAGCACAAGTTGCTCCAGAACAGCAAGATC